CTGCTGAACAGACCCAAAGACTGAGAATGTTTCCTTCCTTGGCTTGCAAAGAGTGTAATATTTCTGCTGGACATGTCTGCGTTATAAGGAAGAATATTTCCACTTGATTCTTAGTCAGGATAATATTAGAAATGCACAAGATTCACACATATATCTTGTTTTACAGACAGATCCAACATGAAAGTGTTTGTGAGGAAAATGAGTATCTGTACATAGATATGACATGAGGAGCAAAAGTTCTGGCATCTTTGATATGTAAGGTTATTAATCCTTTACATGTTCATTGTAGTCCTGCTAACACTAACTTTCTTGTTAGTAGGACTAGGTAACAAAGAGAATTAATTACAGTAGCTGCCATTAAATGTCAAAGATTCACAAATAGGTAATGTATTATAATTATAATTATAATTATATTGCATTATAATATGCCAGAAATACTGAAATACTCTCTGTACTTAGAATAAGAAATAAATGCAGTACACTAGATGATTCAATGCTGTTGGCAAATGCTGACTTTTAATCTTGGTTTGTCTATATGGTTGAAAAAAAATGTATTATTATAACATACATATTTTATAGTGATCTATAGATAATGAATCCGAGTATTAAAATATTGTTTTTCTGTATATGTTGCACAGGATGCAATACAACAATATACAAATGTCACTTCTGATTTCATGCTTATTCAATACTAATTTAAAAAAGAAAGGAAATGCACTTACAAAAATGAAAAGTTATTTCTGAAGCTACACTATACTTCAGTCATTAGATGATTCCCGTTTCCATTAAAATCTCTTGAACATTGATAAAAGCAACTGTCATGTTTATTTACTGTCATTCACAGAAAAAGATAGTTGCATTTTTACATTCAACGACATTAACTTTTGGTTGATTTAATGCCTTCTACTACTCTCTGTTGGTAGCCTGAACATGGCCATACAGGACAACGTAAAAGAAATAGCTCCCTTTTTGTTTTAATAGAATCTAATTCAGGAAAACATACCAGCTGATTTTTTTCAAAAATCTGAAAGAAAAGCAGTAATATATGAGCCGCAATTCATAACAAGAGAAAGGAATTTCAATGTTACACAATAGTATGCTACCTAATTTAGGATTATTTCCCAGTTTTGTCCTTGCCAAAGAAATTCCCCAACACTCAAGCAATGACAGCAACACCAAACCCTTAATTTGGATTTTGGATAGCAGTTCACCAGTGTTGTCACAGAGCAAAAAGCCTTAAACAGTTGTTCTTCACCTAGAGAGCTTCCTCCAGCTTTTTGTATCATAACAGTGGTAGGAGCTACGGAAGTTTCTATTACCTTTTTGCAAATTTTATAAGCATACTCACAGCAGGTAGTGCAAAGAAAGAAATGCCAAGTAGAGCAAATCCTGCAGAAAGCAACCTTCCAAGCCAAGTAAGAGGAGTTTTGTCTCCGTAGCCAATGGTTGTCAATGTGATCTAAAAAGAAATGAATGAACATAGTGGTTAACCAGAAGTCACTGAGAGATTTGCAGATTATTTACATGGCATGAAACAGCATTTCCACTAAATAATCCAAGGCACATGAAATATATATAGTTGTTACATAAATAAATTAATATGAATAGATTTTTCTATGAAAACTTAATACTGTTTATGACTGAATCAAACAGAGATAAATGATAAATGTGAGAAAAATACCTAAATAAGCAATAAATAAGTTTTAAAAATAATAAACCAGAAGGTCTGGGATCTCAAAGTTGAGGCAAATAATAGGAAATTATGTGAGTTAGGCAGGAAAAAATGTTCTTTTCCATGGACATAAAGGTGTTTCACCTATTTTCAGCAGGGAAATATAACTGTATCTATTTGCATAACTACACAAATATAAATTACACAGAGATCATACTGGAAAAATATAGTAGGACTAAAAGGAAGCTGAAGTTCACAGATGAGTCAAAGGAACAGCAAGAAGCAGCTGCATTTCCTATAAGCCCATCAGTACAATGTGAAGTGACTCATCTTCTGAAACTCAAAAGCTTTAAATGAGCTTTAAGAAGTTCCTGGTCCTTTCCCCTTGCTTATGACAGGCCCAGATATACCTACGTCTCTCCTGACAGGAAGCTCCAAAGACTACTATACATCAGCAGATGCAGAGGTACCTCAGGCTGTTGGACAACGTTAGCTCAGACCTATGTGGGGAGAGGTCAAAGAGAAAGAGGAGGGCATCTGTAATCCCTTCATGTGGCAAGTGTAATCGGAGGCTCAGCATACAGATGTTTCACAAGCTGTGCTGTGGAGGCCAGCACCCCTTCTGTGTCGCACCAGTGCAGATGATGGCAGAGTTTGGTGCACGTGGGACGGCTCTCCACACGCAACTCATTGACCGCAGGCCATGTAGAAATGCAGCGCATATGCAAACGCCTCTGGGATAATGGTGCGTGGTTGTAGTTTACTGAGCATATCTCCAAGGCAAAAGGTTATGGCTTCATGTCTGTGTGTGGCTGAGGGTCTTCCCCAGCCCAAGGAAATGTCCTCCAGTCTACTCCTGGCCTGGGAAGCGTGCCACTCCCAAACTTGAGGCCTGGAACTGGCAGGAGAAAGTCATGTACCTGTGCTTCCCTTCTGGGGAGTTTGGACCCACCCTGCTGCCTGGTGCGGGCAGCAGGAAGAGGTGTGGGCAGAGTGGAGGACTTTGGAAGGCCGGGTGGGAGGCTGCAGGGCACATGCTCAGGCAATGGCACATGATGTTAAAGGACAAAGATAGACAACAGTAGGCTGAATGCCAAGGACTCCGGGGCCTGTTATTAGCAGAGAACATGTGCACGGAGAATTATTTTACATCATGTACCAAATGTGGGCAAGTTCAGGCTTAGCAAATATTCTGGCAGGAATGAATTCTTCAGGAAAATGCCTTCTAGAGACATTGTTTTGCTTCCAGCTTCCTCAAAGTTCATTCCTAGGCAAGATGGCCAAAGCAATTCTATTTAATGCTGGGGTCACCACAGGACAAAAGAAGGAAAGTCTTTTGGAAGTAATTAGATTTCAACTATTTAGGGCTCTGTAGATAGTAAACAGTGCTTTTAATTGCTTGCATTGTTGGGAACAAGCTGCGGGTGTAATTTACCCTGAGAAAGCCATAGTGACTAAAAGAGAGTGAGCTGAATTAAGGCTGCAGCTGAAATTTCAAGTGGTTATCAAGTCTCAAGTTTTGTAATGTCAGCCTGGTCACAGGCCCACCACCTTGCATGCTTATCAGGTCTCACTCTCCTTCCTTGCTCCTCTTCACTTCCCTGCTCTATCCCCTCTTCTCCACTTTTGCTGGACTCTTTGGAGAGCCAGTGCAACCCAGGAGGTTGGAAAGAATTAGCCACATTTCTGCGTGGTTTGTTTCTGCTGTTCCGGTGAGTTGTGTTAGCTCATGGAGGTGCCTAACAAGCTCCAGAGCTTGCACAAGGCAGCATGTGGCTGAGATGGAGTGATAAAGAGGAAGGGAGATGGGAATGCAGCTCCCTCTTTTCCGGCAGAGGTGTGCTGATGCAACCATGCTCTTGGCCTGGCAGAGAGGCTTGGTTTGGTTTTCCTTTGTTTGCTGAAAAGGGTATTCCCAGCTCTTCTCATCAGGGGGTGAGTGCAGAACAGTTTGAGGCTATTAAGACCCTGAGAGCAATGAAGCACTTGAACAAATGAATCCCTGAATAAAAGTTCCTCAAAATTTGTTTCCAGGCCAGTCATTGCAAAGCAGTTTGAAGCTCTGGAATGAGCCCAGTTTCTTGGCTTCTGCCCAGCTCCCTATCTCTGCCAGGCGCTGGAAAATACAGGGATATCTCCTGCCTGGGCTTACAAAAAGAAAACAGAACTAAGTGTCATCTGCATATTAATGATATGGCCACCAAACTGCCTTCTGAAGAAGTCAAAGATAAACTTGAACCTTTGGGATCTGACAGCTGGAAGCGATCCAAAACCAGGAGCAGTCACACAGACTGTATCACTGGAATTTCTCCAGAGAAAATAACAAGACCATATTAAAGCCTTTCCCCCCATTCTTTTAGCTCCTGAAGACTTGATGGTATCAGTATATGATTAAGAGTATCAGTGGCTTCTTGTTCACTTTGAGCTGTTTTATCTCAGAACGCTCTTTACATGGGTGTATGGGTGTCAGCACCATGCCATATCATCTTAACACTGAACAAATGGATTTGATCTTCATTTTATATTCCTCTCATCACACAACTAAGAAAATATTTTTCCAGACAATTTCAGGGTCAAGTTCAGGAATAATTCTCAGTATCTTTGTTAGTGCCACAAGCGAATGACTAAACCACTGGCCAGGCCCGGACTGGCATAATGCTGAGGTTAAATTAACTGAACAGGGTGTGGAAAACTACTGGACATGAGACCATGACAACATGAGAAATTTCCAGACGTTACTGATAATAATGTAAGAAGCAGACAGAAGTTACAGCTAGCACTGTGAGGGAAGGCTGGGTCCCACGGGTGGTGAAGGGAGAAGTGATCAAAGTTCAAGGGTGACCAGAGGAAATTATTTGGGACCTTTTGGGGATTACAGTCTTGCAAGGACATCAGCACCTAGGTGACTGCATCAGCAGTACCATACAAGGCCAAGCGTGACTAGGTAACAGAACTACATAATCTGTAGCAAGCCTGTGAAGGTAATTAGGGACAGGTTGTTTATTTGAGAGGAGACTTGGTCAGAGGAAGCAAAGTGGTGAAAAAGAGGATCAAGATACAGTAAAAGAAATAACAAGATATGCAAATCATGTCTTTCTGTGAATACCTACTGAGCAGCCCCGTGTCTGATCACCATAGCCTACTTGAAAAATAAAATGCGTGGGTGTTTAACGTGACCTGGTCACTGCAACATGCACAATGGAAATAGATTCCTCCAGCAGGTAACTTATCCTATCCTAAAATGTAGGACTTAGGCTTGCCTGAAAGCAAATGTCTAGTGCCACCTGAGATGCCCTAGGCCATCTGAACAGGGACCACCTGCAGGAGAGGCGGCGGACTGCAGCAGATCTTCCATGGCACTGTATGCCTATGTTCAAGCAACTGAGTCACACTCCTACGTGGCTAAATTGGGCTAGCTGAGTCCTATCTTTTGTACCAGATGCAAAACACTCCATTTGGGTTGCTTCTATAAATGAGGTGTCTGGACAGACCAGCCAAGGCAGGCAGTGTCACCTGGCTAGACTCAAAACTCACAATGATGATAGAACTTCTGTTATATCTCATTGCTGGAGCTAATAAATATGTTAATAATAAGTGAGGTAATATAATAATGAATGTGATTATATAACCTAGGTGCCTTCAATTAGATGAGATAGGACCCAGGAGGCCCTCTCTCTACCCTAATATTTCTTTCTGATGTCATTTTATGTTCTGCTCGCAGTATTTACCTTTTGAATCTTTACCTGACATCAATTAGCTGAAAAAAATGTAGTTGGCACATGCTATCATTACATTAAATGGGAAAAACATCATCAATATTAATTCATTTGAGCTAGTAATTGTGACAATATTATTCATCGTAAGATGTTTTGTTCCCCTACAGGTCACTGTGGAGTGCCAGAGCCATTCTGTATCCAGCTGTAACTACTGGATACTACTAGAAAATGATGACTTATTAAGAGAAACTCTGTCAAATGTGTAAGAGACAGGAATCTTAATTGCATTACATTTGCAGGTAAAACTAATTAATGTACAAACTAAATGCTGCTATAAGCACACACAGTTCTAACTAACACTAGCAGTTCTCAGAAAACCATGCATGATTTGGTTTTGAAATACTTAAGTTTTTGAATTGACCTTTTGTTCCCATACAGTTTAGTTATTTTATTCTGTTAAATGAATTTGCCTTCTCTACCAAAGCAAATTCTGAACCTGAACTCTTCATCTAACACACACTGTTGTGTGCTGCTATGTTAGGCAGCACTGTGGGGACCCCAACCACAAAAACATTCACAATAGTAACATTAGCATGATGTTTAAACCACAGGTTGCACAGTACAATGTGCAATTGCAAATACAGTGGAGTATTCATATGTAAATTAGGTCGCCATATCCTGACTTTCATTGAGTGTAAAACTATGTGCTTCAAAAATGGAGTCAGTGACATGACCATAGCAGCATATGGCCCTCAGATAACCTGAATTAATGAATGGGTTAATTGCTTCATGCTGGGTCTGGTCCTGTAAGGGGATGGGGGCATAAGAACCTTTAAAAGCTTGAAATTTAAAATGACTATTTGTGCCTGACTTCAGTGCAGTCTTTTCTTTCTTGTACCTCTGCCATTGCAGAATTCAGTCTGGGAGTTGGTAGGTGCTCTGCGGTTTAGGTTAGAACAACTTTTGCAAATAAACGAATCAATGAGACTAAGCATTGATTTCCCCTAGAACGCCACACAATCTGACCTTTTCAAAATCTGCATGTGGGTTACTCTGGCAGTAAAAACAACCATGACTAAGAAGCACGTTATGCATTTCCCACATACTGTTTTACATATTATACAAAAAATACTATTATTAAAATGGCAAAGATAACAGGTGAGAGGGAACATGGATTTTCAGTAACTTTGTGCACTTAAGCCCATTAAAAATTTAAATGTATTCATGTCACACACTGGGGAAAGAAGAAAAGATATAGAAATATGCAATATAGATTGTTTTCAGGTGTTTTAT